GATCGTGGATAGGTGGGGATATACTTGGGTGATCGTGGTTGGGTGGGGGTATACTTGGGTGATCGTGGATAGGTGGGGGTATACTTGGATGATCGTGGATAGGTGGGGGTGTACTTGGGTGATCGTGGATAGGTGGGGATATACTTGGGTGATTGTGGATAGGTGGGAGTATACTAGGATAATTGTTGCTAGATAACTTTGTGTCTTCTACAAGTGAATCATGTATTGCTACAACAGCATTAATCTCACCTTGTAGCCTTTCTTGCTCTCCTTGTCGTTCCAACTCTCTTTGAAGAAGTTGTAATTCTTCTTTCTTTCTCTCCAATTCTTGCTGCCTTATCAGGCTAGTCATCCTTTGCTTAAGTCCTGCGGCATTTGCTGCAGCTTGTCTCGATGATATTGAAGAGACTTTGGATAATTTAGAGATAGAGCTCTTTGTACTAGATTTGTGAGATCTTTGTGTCAGCATTTCAAATCTTTCTTGTGTTAAATCATTAATTTTTGTCTTAACATCTGCACAACAGTCCAAGTAATTATCACAAATACGATCAAAATATTCATGGTCTTCATTAGGAAATTCATTATCCGAATTAAGCATTAATAAATCAGATATTTCGTTATAAAAGCGTTTTAGATTATCCATATCCATGTTCAAGCCATCCTTGCTGGCTGTTAATTTCACTATGTCAGTACATTGTTCTAGCAATAATTGGTCTATACGACTAATTCTGGCTTTCACAGCCTCACCTGCACGATTTCGTTTCTTTCTGAGTTCTCCAGGCTTGCCGAGACAGCCTTTCTTGTTCGAGGTCGAGCTTGTTGTCCTTGTGACTCCAAACTACCTACACTTCATTGGTCCTCCTGTTTGTCTGCGACACAGACATCTTGTTCGGGTATCAGACTTGTTCCTAACCCGTCTTTTAATTCCAATGGAGCTTCGTTCTCTACCAGTTGTGTTTCTGGTTCATTGCTTTGTGTCTTTGAAGCCATTTTCTTATATTTCAGTCGAAATTTCGCTTGGGTTCTTTCTCAGTTTTCAAAATAACACATATTTTGAAAGTCCCTTCGTTGTTTACTATAATGTTCTTGTCGTTTCACGCAAATAAAATGCCCACAAAAACGTTGTTTTAACTCGTAACTTTAATAGAAAGTAAAAGAAAAGGTAAACATCGGTTCCGGGCAAACCGTAGATTTCTTACATCCTTTATATCATGCTATAAATCACATTTTAAAGCCTTCGTCTTCGTAAATATAAAATGTCTTCTTGTTCTGAGTAAATATTTCTAGACCTCGAGGACAGTCACGTGATCTAAAGTTCGCGACGCACACGCGCGCACGCCACGCGATAGCAGTTACAGACCTTGTTTACTGTCTAGCACAACGCCGTTATCAACGGTGCAAACTCGTGTTCAGTGCAACGATAACTCTACCAGATCTTACGAAAATCAATATGTAGAATTCTGTACACAGAACTGTATCAAAGCTTGTCAAACTGCTTTAATAAACACTGCTATAACTGTGAAACTATTGAAATCTAAAGTGACATTATTTAATACATGCGAAAAGCTGAAAATATGACACAACCATAGATATCTTATATACACTAGATAGTGCATCTAATTATTCTGCAATTCAAAAATTGAAGCCGTGATTGCAGACTCAGGATATTCCCATGAAATGAGAAGACTCGTATATTTTCTATTTCTTAAACAGGGAACTTAAACATTAAGTTAAACCTATTCCAAATACATTTTCAAACTATTCAAATGATGAAAGTTATCGTTGTTTTTAAAGCGTTTATTAGCGAGTGGAAAATTCCAGCTATTTCAATTAAAGTTTTAACTAAAAGGATGTGGGAATAATCATAGTTTTAGATAAGTTGGAATATTCTTGGCTTCAATTTTACTAAAAGAGATGCGTTATCTAGTGTATATAAGATATCTATGGACACAACGTGACACTGGGAAAAGTCAAAGGTCAATGAGACTTGTTATTGTGAACATGTCACAATTAGGTTAAAATGCGGAAGCGGATGGAGCGGATCCACGGAACGGATATGCGGATAAAATGCGTCCTTTTAATGATGTAACGACGTAGTGCTTATTATTCATAACATATCTTATACAGCTATTTCAATTAAAGTTTCAACTAAAAGGATGATGGGAATAATCATAGTTTTAGATAAGTTTAGCATATCAGTAGCCTCGTAGGGATGCTTTTAGCGACAGCTGCAAATGCAAAAGCAAATGAAATTTAGAATATGCAAAATTTGGTTGTTGGTGAAACAATTTAAATTTCGAATTGTCGCGTGTAGCATCACAATAAATAGATAAATTGTATCAGGTTCACAAGGCACGTTTCTGATGTGTTAGGCTTGTTTCAAACGTCACGCTACTCGTGTGCCGAGCGCATTAAAAGCAATAGATAATGAGATGAAATGCCTTTGGTAACTGTTTATTTCGTAGTGTAGCATCGGCTTTTCCAGGTTGTCGGCGACCCTATATAATTCTTGCAGTGTCTTTTTCAATTTGAAACTTCACACTATCCTTGGATCCCTAGTTTATTTTATTATGCCAACACTTGTACATATGTATATTATTATTCGGCTCACTCACCCATTGGGGCTTTTCAGTGACCGATTACATCAAGTATCAAGCTCATGTTACTTGGCCTGGACTACCGTATTTACTCGTTTAAGCGCCGCCCCCGACTGAGCGCCACCCCCGAATAAGCGCGGCATATGAGAGCAAAGCTATTTTAAGAGCGCCGCCCGCGAACAAGCGCCGCCCTCAAATAAGCGCCGCATCGGCAACACTAAAAATTTAAAAAGCGCCGCGGAGCTTAAACGAGTAAATACGGTATTTATCTTTATAACAATTTAAATATTACTTTCCTAACAGTGTTTATCTTAACCTACCCTGTTCAACTTTCCCTGTGGGAGGAAACCGGAGCGCCCAAAGAAAACCCACGACTTTCGGTTCCTTAATTTAAAATAATTTTCTCACAGATAATAATGTTCGTGTATCAAAAACAAGAACAATTGCTAGAATATTTTCACGGTAACGATAACAATTTGACTGTACGTTTGCTTTGTAATCATTTATTTAAACCAGAGTAGCGAGCTGGAGCGAAACATGATTGATATACCTGGTTGCAATGAACGAACAAACTTTAAAACAATGAATTGCCATTAAATTTTAAACAATTTTAAAAAAATTATCTCTCTTAAAGTGCCTATACGTCATGGTCAGGAAATTTGCATATTTCGCTTATTTAGGAAGTGGCGTAACGCCACATTTGGTGCTCCCGGTAAAAAAATATTGAAAGGCCCCCCTCCATAACCAATTATATTCTAAAGGAACGCATGAGTTACGTCCCCAAAACGTTTCTTCTCTTCGCCCACCAGGCGAAGATACACTCGAAAAAGGGCACTTTTTCCACAAATTTTAAATCTAATCTCGAGCTCAGAATGCAGGAAATGGTAGTTGCGGGCTTCAAATTAAAAAAGTGCCCCCCAGACCCCCTAGCAAGGGCGTGGCTGCGGCCACGCAGGTGGACTTCGGGAAAAATGCCACGGTCAGATTGAGCCGCTGAATCCGCCCATGCTTGTTTCGTACAACTTTCATCTCTAGTATTGATAACTTTCAGTAGCTAGATATCAGGATTTTGGACGTGTCACTTGATATGCAGCCAATTCAAAAAAGATTGTCCTTTGCAAACCTTGAATTCTAAGCGCGCAAAGTTTAATGGGAGCACAAGTTTCAAGCTTCGTAGTTGAATATTGTAGCTATTTGTGAATGAATTGTTGTCGTAAGGAGATATTAATTTACCATGTCTTTACGAAATGGGTCCCATATATGATTTCTAAACTTTTTTTTTAATATAAACATATTTATTAACTTTAGTGTTTACCCAAGAGCGTGGACGCTCATCGATTAAATGATGCTAAACTGATTAAATGATGCTCCCATTATGCTTTACGTATACACGCTAGCTTAGAGATTAAGGTTTAAGGTTTAGAGTTTAAGGTTTGCACAGGACCTTTTTTGAATTTATTCGCTGTAACTATAATTGTTGAAGGGAAATCCCTTATATCTAGTGGGATGCCCAAAGTCCCGATCACCTTAGTATTGATTGTTAAACTTGAAATTATGGTTAGGGCTCGACAACTGTCTCTCTGTAGCTCAGTTGGTTAGAGCGCTGCACCAGAATTGCCAGCCTGAAATTTTTTCCCTCCTGTAAATTTCGGGTTGTGAGCAGGTTGATTTTTTAACTTTACAATTATACAAAAATTATAACAATGATTGAAGGTATGGTCAACAGGACATGAGTCCCATGTGAAGACCAACCTGATACAATACAATAAGTAGACATAGGCCTACATTAAAGACAAGGACTATTTACATAGCTATATAAAAATTAATAGTTTAGATTATGAGTAACAGCTTATGTTGAAAGAACGGCATTTAGAGCAGCAAACATTTCTTGATTTGATGATTGATAAATTTCTTGCAGATATATTTCATTTTTGCTCGCATTTTTGCAAGATTTTGTAAATTTCAAAAGCTTTCTCAGAAAGAAAGAACTAAAAAATCGGCTAAAAGAAGGGAGCCGACGTTAACGAAGGTAAGTTTGTTTTAAATATTGATTTTATAATGGCTTTAAAACCCGACGACCTTTGCGTATATGAAACAACTAAACAAGACAGCATATAATTTCAGTGTATCTTTAATATTGATTCCCTTTTTTATATAATTGAATTTTTTAAATAAAAAAGATAGCAAAGTTATTTGCATGCGAGAATTTGAAATCATTTTATTGCAAACTCAAAGTTTATCGATAAAGCCATTTAATTGAAGACAGTTTAGTTTTATAAAGAACACTTTAAAACGTTTTGCGAAGCGTTTAAATTTGTGGTTGAATTTTACCTTAAATTGAAGCTTATATTACGTATAATAACATACCTATTACATATATATGTTGTGAAATTGATAATTTTGTAATTGAAAGTGATATTTTTAGGCGATTGTTCATTTGTAAAAATATTCTTAAAAATTATCGTGTTACCATGACAACTACTTTAGATACTTCATGCTAGGAAAATGCAATGGTTTTGTCAGCAAGGTGAGGGTTTCTGCATGCATGTATTTTCTAGTTGTGCAAATAAATACAAGAGCACAACGCATGTTTATGAGCCTACGTACAACGTATATTTATACTTGTTAATTAAAAAGTCAAACTGTCAAACCTTAAACTTGTCCTTGTTTATATTCCACTATATTGTATAAATTCGTTGGGTCCAAATTTTGGGGTTTTCGAGTCGTTACATAAAGACAAACACACTAATTCAACACGCAAGAAAGGCCAGAGTGCGACACAACGTAAAATCCATAGGAAACCGGCACAATCCTTTGAAAATTCAACGAAACTGTGTGAAATATATATTAGGTCGCTCAGTGAAAAGCCGCCATTTTGAAACTGAACTGAATATGTCACTGGAGCACGTTGCACCCTGAGCCTACGATGACCTAACGCAAACTCCATTTCTCGTCGAAAACAGAAAAAGAGGGATTTAAGACACTTGGCCTACAGGCCAGTGTAATTACTGACTACTGAAAATTTGAAATGTTTGTTGATTTTCGTCGTCCAATCAGGGTTGAGTGTATTTTGAGTTGTTCAACGACTTCCGCTTTTTGTCCAGCAAACCCGGCACGCGGATATATTTTGGCCGGATATATTTTGGCCCAATGTATTTAAATCAATGCAGGAATTTAAAGACTTTGAACGTGGTTTCCATTG